CACTAGTAGTAGTAGTAGTAGTAGTCGTAGAAGTAGTCGTCGTAGTAGTCCTAGTAGTCCTAGTAGTCCTAGTAGTCCTAGTAGTCCAAGTAGGCCTAGTAGTCCTAGTAGTCCTAGTAGTCGTAGTAGTAGCAGTAGTAGTAGCAGTAGTAGTAGTAGTAGTAGTAGTAGTATCAGTAGTGGTAGTTGTTGTTGTCGTTGTAGTAGCAGTGGTCGTCCTCGTAGTAGTAGTAGCAGTAGTAGTAGTTGTTGTTGTTGTAGTGGTAGTAGTAGTAGTAGTAGTAGTAGTAGTAGGTGGTAGTAGTAGGTGGTAGTAGTAGTGGTGGTAGTAGCAGTGGTAGCAGTAGTACTACTGTATTAGTAGTTGTTGTTGTCGTGGTAGCAGAAATGGTAGTGGCAGTGGCCGTGGCAGTGGCAGCAGCAGGAGCAGGAGCAGGAGCAGTGGCAGCGGCAGTGGCAGCAGGAGTACCAGTTGCAGCAGGAGTAGGCCGTAGAAGCAGCAGCAGCAGCGGCGGGAGCGGGAGCGGGAGCAGGAGTGGTAGGGGTAGCGGTAGCGATAACAGAAGCAGAAGCCGAGGTCGTCGTCGTCGTCGTAGTACACAGGATTTCATGGTGGTACTGTCGGTTCGTACCAAAGACGTGAAGGCTCTTTACACAGCAGCACTCGGAAACAGTAGACGCTTCGTCGCAATGGCTTCCCAGAGTCGTACCTTGGCAGTGCTCGTGGCCGCAGTGTGCTGCGTGGCTGTTCTTCGCAGCTTCTGGGCACCGAGCCAGCCGACGTTTGTGGTTCCTCAGCAGAGCGTCCACATGGGTTGCCAGGCATTGTCTGGTGGTGCTCTGGCCTCCGGCAATGTGCCTGCCATCGTCAACACAGTGCCAGCTCGCCCCGGTGTGCCGGCCCACTTCAAGGTGACGCTTGAGACTCCCGATGGCACTCAATCTTTCGCACCTTGTTTGCAGTCTGCAACTGAAAGATTCGTGCTTTTGGGATCTAGTAATCTTGTCATTTTTTGTGCCCAGGGTACCACACATAGAATCTGCGGCCAGCTGGCAAAAACACAGCCAAGGAATGCCCTGAGGATGTATACATTCTGGATCAGGCTGAGGAGGAGGGTTTGGAGCTGCCGTACTCCTGCCGAGCGGGCTCTTGCTCCAGCTGCGCCGGGAAGGTGCTGGAGGGCGAGATTGACCAGAGCGATCAGGCCTTCTTGGACGATGACCAGATGGGCGAGGGCTTCTGCTTGACCTGTTCTTCAGATTAACTGAGGTTGTGGTAGAATAGAAGCGGAAGAATGGGCAGTACGATCCCGCAAAATGGTCCGAAAACAGCCCAGGTGTAACGTACGCCACCTCGGACGTCACCATCAAGACCCACTGCGAGGACGAGTTGTGAGCTGGCGTGTGTTTGGTTGTTAGACTTCCGCTTTTATCCTGATTACTTGCTCTGTCTAGTATGTGGTTGGTCTCACCGAATTTTCGCTTCTAGCCTTTAGCCAAGTGCTGGCAAGTACCAAACAGGACCGTCCAGTGGAGAAAAGGAAAGCCTGTCATTTTGTGTCCAAATCTTCTAAAGCGTCTCATTCCTTTGCATGATGGGACTCTGAGCTGCCCAGGCGATGATGGCCATCATCGGCATGTTTTTCCAGGCATCACAGATGTTACAGCCAACCTTGGTGACTTGCAAGGTAGTTATGTTCGGATTGGGCAGGGTCGTTCATCGTCATCAGGAGCAGCATCTTCTGCTTCTTCTTATTCTGTCTATATATGCCTATTATTTCTATTATTAGTGTTCTTCGTCATTTTACTGTTCTTCCGCAGTGTGCTCACCCTCACTCATCAGGAGCAACTATCAGGATCATAACCGTCATCGTCCACCCTCACTCATCAGGAGCAACTATCAGGATCATCATCGTCATCGTCATTACCACCACCATCACCACCACCACCACCATCACCATCATGATCATCATCATCGCCATCCTCATCGTCATCGCCATGGCCATCGCCATCGTCATCGTCGTGGCTGTCACCCTCACCGTCATCGTCGTCGTCGTCGTCATCATCACACAACACCACCAGAATTCGCATTGACGCCACCATCATCAACACGAGTTCGACGAGCGACGCCGAACAGGAGGAGGAGGAGGAGGAGGAGGAGGGAAGGGGGATGGAAGGAGGACGGAGGAGGAGACGGACCACGAAGGTGCAGGCGGAGGCGGGCGCTGACGGCTGTGATGGCGACAGTGACCGTCGACGGCGACTACGACCACTGCCACGACCACGACTCGTATTAAAATCGGTGACTTTCCATTCTTCCAGAAACTCTTCGATCTGGACGCTATAGAGCCATCAGGCATCATGCGCAGAAAGCTGGCCTTAGGCAAGGCCTTAAACCTACCTTGTGCATGTCGGTCGCATGGCACAGACATCTGAATCTGTGAAGGCTCCAATGGACGGATCTCCCATTCGAACCCTGAGACCCTAAGCACCGAAAGCTTCGACCCATTGCCGACCAACCCTGTCTGCATTCAGTCTTCAAATGTCCCACGATTTTCACTGAAAGGACGGCCTCGCTGGCTCTGCGTGGGGCGATTGGTCTTTGTACACTGACTCCCCCCTGCGCTGAGAAGCTTTGAAGCGACTGCAGAGCTGGAGCTTGGTAGAATTAGTTGCCATTTATCTTGGACATGAGTACAGGCCTTTCGGGACTAGGTTGTTGGAGCAAACGACATAAGCAGAGAAAACAATGAAGCTTCTACACCAAAATTAGAAGTTTGCGCCGTGATCCGGCAGAACGTGCCGAGTGCCCCTGCCTCCTGGCTTCTGCGCTGCCGTCCAAAACGGTCCGGCGCTGTTAAGGCGACGGTGAGCAGCAACAGAAAAGGAGCGGCGGTGGACTGTGTTTAAAGGGTTGGGTGACATTTGCAGTCGTAAACAAATGTGCGGTTCCGCATGACGACATGCCTCGGGCATGGAAGGGCACAAGCTGTAGATCACCGTGAGAGGGGGACAAGGCCAACACGCTAAGGCCTAGTAACGGAAAATGATGAATTGTAAGCCAGGATAAGGCCAAAGAAATATGTCCTTTCTCAGCGTCATGTGGTTCGTGGCGTCTCCCCTGGGCACAGCCGGTGCAGAGGAGGGCTACGCGTGGCCATGATTTGCTTGACATTTCAAAGCCTTCTCGCCGCCGTTTGGAGCGCAAAGCGGCTTGAGCTTCTCCCCATGGCTTGCAGTAAGAAGTCTTCAGCATGAAAGCTGAACCCGAGCGCTGCAAGGCCGCATGAGCGTAGTGAATGCTACTGCATGCTAAATGACCAGTCGCCACGGAAAGTACAAACCACACAGATACCGTGTCACTACGCAACCCTGAACTCTCGACGTCACTTCACTTGACTACGCCGTCTTGCATCCCCTATCAGCCAAGCTTGCAAAGTCGGCTTCGAGCTTGGGGAAGGCGCCAAGCACTTGACCATTTTACTTCTGAGGGTGTCATTCAGAGGGCTGTTTATGATGAGGGGCTCAAGGTGCAGTAGTTGACAGTTTCTGCTTGGACTGCTGGGGCAATTTCCGCTCAAGGGTAGGGCCGGGTAGGACTTCGCTGGACCATTAGTGCTGGACGCGTGCTTCTGTTTTTGAATCCCCAGGTGATCTTTTGGAATCGCAAAACACCTGCCTAACAAACGAGAGAAGGATGCAACATATCTTACGGCACATGACCTTATGTCGAAGCCCCTGCTTCCCCCCGTCGTCTCGCCGAGAAATGTTTGAGCTTGGGGCAGTTTTGCTCGTGTGCTTGAACCGTGTGATGACCTGCTGCCTCCTGTCTGTCGCAGAGCTCCGAAGCCGTCTCAGTTTGTTGTGTCAAAATCATCGTTGCAGCTGCTGTCACGAAGCTTGTTCTTGCTCTGAGCGCCCATGTAGTCCCGTGAACCTTGAGGACTAGCCAGTATAGTGAAATCGTATTTGATTTGTTGCCCGGTAGTGTATGCTGCCAAGCAGCGCTTCAAAACGAAGAGTCAGGACAAGATGGACGTCACTGCGGGTGTCGACAACAGAGCGGTGTGGGCTTCAGACGATGCAAGTTGCAAAAGGGGGTGTTTGTCAACAGATTGGGAGCAGCACCCCGCTTCAGAAACCACAGCTGAACAAGTCAAGGTTGAAACCAAAGCCAGTGTCCTCCAGTAACATGTTGGAAGAAAACTGAAAGCCTCAAAGTTTTTCGTCATCAAGAGAAGAGACTAGGAGCAAGACCAGGTTTATGCGAAGCTGTCCACTTCATCGTCGTCGTCGTTTGACCACCGTCCTGCAGGCGTCGGCGATGCGTGATGCTGCAAGCTGGTCCGTCACAGTTCACTCCTGTTCTCTGAATAAAGCATGCTTTGATGCATTTCCCAACTAGCTCCTTGCCCACGCTGTTCGGCCGCCATCCCATGCCAGGCTATCTGCCGCGAAGTAGGCAGCGCTGCTGCAGGGTGCAGAATTTGCAAAATCCACAGCAAGTGTTCCCGGTCTGATCACGAATGCAGGAGGGTCGCAGTTGTTCCTCCCTCCTTGATTGCTTGTGTTTGTGGTTATTTCTTGTTCTTGTTGTTGTCGCTGCTGCTGCTGATGCTGATGCTAGTTGTGATGGTTGTGGTGTTGGTTTCTTTCGTGTCACTCGCAGCTAGGGAGTCCAAGCCTTGCGTACAGGTTCTGTCGGACAACATAAGTCGCCCCTGCTGTCGTTGACAGCACATATTCTTAGGCATGCGCGGAAGGACCAGAACAAAACTGTCACCGCCTCGTGAGGCCCATTAGCATGACAGTTCGAGAAACTTCGCTGTGGCACGTTCTCTGAAGAATACATCAAAGAGAAGAGCATCGGAATGTCAGTCACCTGTACAACCTGAGCTGTTGTCCTTGGTAGAAAGCTATTTTTTGGACCGTGACTGACAGTGCTCTTGTTGACGGTTGTCGCTAGGAAAGTGCAGTAAAAGCCAGAGAGAGTGGAAGAATGAGATGCCAAGTGGAGGCTCTCGCCGCATAACGGCGACGGAAGCCACCAAGTTCCCAATCTGTCACCCAAACTCGCACGGTTGTTGCAACAAGTGGAAGCCTGCTTTGGTCAGTTGTAAGTTCTGCTCCTCCCCCCAGCTGTGTCAAGCCTTTGGCGTAGTTGCCAACAAGTATGATGCGATCACCGCCGCTCCATGGAAACGAGGCGTGAGCAACATGCGGATCCATCGGTTTGTAGGGCGGGATACCGTGAGCAGGCGGCCGGGATCAGAACGGCCGTCCAGATGCACAGAACCCTCGCTGTCCGACACCCAGACTTGCCCACCTTGCCAGCGACCACATGGTATTGGTATGTTGCTTGTGCCCGCCGCGTTGCCGCGATCCTTGTGCATGTAGTGCATCATGTTCTTGAGGATTGCACAGCTGCAAAAGTGGTGTCCGGGGCTAACGCCATTGATCAGATCCGTGAGCCAGCGAGTTGCCATTGAAACATCACGTGGTGAATGCACTCACAGAGAAAATCCACTGCTGATAACCCGTGGCTCCATCCGATGTGGTTGTGCGCCGGCGCTTGGCGGATTTCTTGGCTGGCATTGCGGATTTGTTGGCCGGCAGTTGCTCACAGAGGCGTTCCAGATGCCACCCATCGCACCAACCACGACCACAAACCAGACGGGCAAGCTTCTCCATAACGGGCGCATCTCTGGTGGGCATTGAGGTGAGTCGCGTGTTGCGAAGAAAAATTGCATAGTCGCATGGCCAAGGGTTGTCAGTGTGCCAGCGTTCCTGGACTCCTCGTTAGAAGCCGGTCCGATCCGGTACCGCATCTGCGCTGTGACACGCCATGTAGGCGGTGAGCTCCCTCACGGGCACTACACTAAACCTGTATCCTGCATGATGACGGGCAGGATTGGTTTTGCGACGATGGGATATCGCCTGCGCCTCAGCTCCGCCAGGATATCTCCCAGGAACACGAATCTAGGCAAGTCTATCACTTTTTTGGTTGGTTTTACACTTAGGTGCCTAACCAGCCACTCTGGCTGGTGAACTTCCGCAACCGTCCGTGGCTGCGCCGTCCAAGGATGTTCACAGGGCTAGTCGAGAGGGCATGCACTGCAGCTGCACTGACGCAATTGAATCCCTCAGAAAATTCCCAGCAGGCTGAGAGCTGATAGGCCTTGCAGCTGCTCCAGGTTCGCCCTGAGCGACCTGAGAACTGCACGTCCATCTGCATGGTGACCACATGACCTGTCATGTTCTTGACTATCTCCGCATCGGCACGAGCAGCTGCCGGTTATTTTGAGAAGGCCCACCATGTCGCTCTCTTTCACGGACGCCCAGGACTCGTCCCTGATCGATCCCCTTGCACTCCCTCGCATCCGCCAGCAGCTGTGC